CTGCCTACTAACAGCAAAGACTACTTGATCTACCACGACCACGATGAACTCTGGGTCAAGTCAGGATACGACAATGACTTTCGGTGCCGAGATGGCAGCACCAGCAACTGGCGATTCAACCGCCGATGACACTGTGGTGCAGTCCGTTGACAGCTCCACTGAGGATGACAAAAGTCAACCTTCGGTGCTTGCCATCGCCAAGGCAGTTCCCAAAGCAAAAGCAAAAGCTACGTCGAGAGCACCCACGCCTTCTCGTCCAACATCCGCAGGATCGAGCACAGCAAAGGCATTTGAACGACGTGCCGAATCGTCTGGTTTATAGATGCTAAGGACACCGTGGAGGGCAATGGAAAAAGGAGTCAAGACCATGGATAAGGCTTCAAGACCAGCGTCTTCAAGAAGTTCGTCTGCAAGACCGAGGACATCTACAGCAAGGGTAAGGGAGAGATCCACGACGTGGAAGAAGATGGTCACGGACCACCTACACGACTCGGGCGATGAGGATATGACCCTCGAAACCATACCGGTGCGAGGGGATGCTTCGTCGGCTGCAACCCTTGCCATGGCTGGTGGTACGAATCCACATCAGGCAATGGCGGTGCAACAACAGGTCGAGGCTTCGAACATCGCGCAGCAGATGTGTTCTCGGAGTGAAGTGCAGAAGTACGCGGGCATCGTGCAAGCATAAGATCAGGGAGATGCAACAAGAAGACGAGGGATCTGGAATTCGCGTTGAAGAATTGGAACGGCAACGATAATGCATGCCTGGCCATGCGGCGCATCAACAATGTCAATCAACAGATGAAGCGTGACTATGAAGCTGCGTTGTTCCGAATGGATGAACAGAACTCGGCTCAACAATGCCAAGGGCATACCATTGCTCAGGAGCTTGCTCAACAGCTGCACATGGTTCGCAGTGAAGCCGCGACCAGCTTTGTGCAACTTGAAGCTGGAGCTCAAGGTTATGGCGAACACATGGCGAGAGAGTGAGTGCCTGACGAATGAACTTCATGAACAAGCTAGAGAGAACTTGCATCTTCGGGCCAACGTGGCTAGCTCCGAGCAAGCCATGTACTCCATGCAGGAGCGATTCAATGTCATCAGGAAGAGTCACGATTCGCAGGTGAAATGCAAGGCATGATCGGTATCCAGGCGACATCGAATCATGAACACCAGCGACTTCGTGAACGGCTTGGTGAAGAAGAAGAGTTTCGCGAGATGGCCGTAAGAAGAATGCAGGATGCCGAAGATCACTTCAACAACAGGAGAATCATGCAAGACAGGCTTTGCCGACCATGCATGATGAGTTGAACGAACTCATGAGAGCTCTAAGAACACAAGAAGAACCCCAGTCAAGGAGGCGAAGCGAACTTGATGCGGCACGAATCTCGGCTCAACAAGCTGGATCTATGCGCGCATCGAGTATGCCGATGTCTTCAAGGACTACTGAATCCGGCTGGGAACACGTAGGTGGAAAGGACGTAGTGCCTGCATTTTCCATAGGAGTTGAGGTACGATCCCCCGAAACACGTTCACCTAGTCAGATTAGTCCTGTCGCCGAAGGGAAGTTCACATTCGCTGAATCGAGCAAAGACTCTCATACCTGATGAACCGAATGTCGCGGGTGAGAATGATGTGGTCGAAGCTGGAAAGGACGGCATGAACATGTTTTACGGGACGGGCCCAATGGTTGAAAGCACGGTACCTGAGCGCTTCGCGTCTCGTACCGATGTTCCGGCACTTGAGCGTTCTGCGCCTAGTGCAGCGTCGTTATTCGGCATTCCAAGTGGGTCTACCCAAGGACAGACAGATGCAGCAGCCGTACGTGATCGACAGCTACGAGAACTTCTGGAAGATTTTGGCGTGAAGGGAAGACATTCCACTTCATCGGCCAGCTCATCCAGACCTGTCCAGCATGACGGTGCACCTGCATCAAGCAAAGACCTTCGTCCTTATCCAGATGTAAGGCCAAAGCCCGTGTCCTTCGACTCATCAATCCATGAAGCACGAAGGAGACATCTCGAAATGGAGTTTGAAGAGAAGTATGAGGAGAAGATCGCCGATCTGCGAAGTGAAGTTCTCAAAGCTCGGAAAGCCGAACAACGTCTCAGAGCTTGAACGTTCTCTGCGAGATCATCCTAAAGATCACAGGACGTATGCAATTTTCTCTAATTCGACCTACTCCGACTGGACCAGTGGAATTTCTCTACATCGACCCAGCGGGCATTCTCATGATGCAGGGTTCGAAAGACACTTCCGCACAGACGATTGCAGCGCTCATTGACCACAACGTCCAGATGCCCGCGAAGTTTGTCGACAAGCTCACTTCAAGCAAGATTCAGAAAGAGAGAAATCCGAACGCTCCACGTTCTGCACTACAACACATTTCAGCATCCGAGTACCTTCCTCGTGGACAAACGTCCATCATGGATAATCCGGTTACCGCTGAAGAAAGTGAACGTGTTGCAGGTCCCAAGGCCGCTCCCAAAGCTTCTACCCGAGAACGTGATCGAGATCGAGATCAACGATGGAGAGGATGGAATGCCAACTCCTATCACGACTCGAAGGGCAAGAACAAAGGGAAAGGGAAGTCCAAGAATCTTGAGGACAACCTTCGACCATAAGAACGTGATCCTGCTCGCACTCGTCAATGGCTGCGGGACAACACGTACGCTGCAACAACGTTGCCATCGTGACCTCGGCAATATGATCGCGATCTTCATTGCGAATGCCTTTTCTTCGGTGACGCCTGATTCTGTAGTCGGGGAATCGTTACTGACGTAGATGAGTGTCACGCCAGTGTTAATTGGGATGCAAGGCTCTGATTCCAAACATTTCGAAGTCTCGGCGGCTTAATCCCTAGTATTTCCAATCGCGCCATCTTCCGGGTGAGCAGTGTCGGAGACACAACTCATGGGGGTGCGAACGGACTGCGATGCCCAGTCAAGTTCTGTGGTGTCACGATAAGAGCTATGAGCAAGGGCATGTAAAGGTCCAGAGTGGAGGCACGCTACGCGTACTCCATCTCTAGGTGTTAGCCTGTGGGCATGCTTCGCATACCACAGAGCTGCACCATTTCTCATATGCCGCCAACGCAACTTTGGCTCAAGAATGAGCACAAGCTCTAGAAAGCATTGCCGATAGCTTAGAATAGCTTATCGTCTTCTGTGACCTTTCTGAGGAACCGAGCCATCCCGAGCACAGACGATCCATCGCCTATCACGAAGGTGAAGAAAAGCGAGCTCTGGATCTGCCTGCCTGGGAAGAGGGTCTGCACGTGGGAGTGACAGTGAGAGCGTATCGAGTCTGTTGAAGGGCAACCATACTGTTACTCAATAGCTCGGTGGGGTGAGCGACAAGGAACATCGTCAAGATCAAATCCCCACGCAGTATTGGTACTGATTTTTTTTATTTAGGGGGGGTAATCTTGAAGTACCCACCCTGCCCACCCTGGAGAATGGCTAGCCGAAGGCTGGCGACAAACTCCAGGCTAACTGGGATTTGTGCGACATCCATGAAAAGGGAGATTCGTCGATGGTGGTGGGCTAGATTGGGCTAGAGCACAACTTTGTTTCACATTCGCAGCTTGACTGCTCAAGATCAGCTTTGCACTAGATCCAGCAAAAATCTGGCTGCGCCTAGGGAAGTGTAGTCAGTGACCTTCAGCTGAGCGTCAACCTTTACGGTAACAACTCTGATATCGATCTCATTGCCTTCAGCCTTCAGCTTCCTCCTGCTCGCTGCTTGCATTGCCTCGATATACGGTTGGTTGCACACTGCTTTGTGACCGAGAGTCAAGTGGTATCCTCCGTTTGTCACAGTTGGGAGCCCCGTACAAGCCCTGGAAATTGAACACTTGGCTTGAAGCCCGCGGTAGCAGGCGGCGTGGAGCAAAGTCGGCGGCGGCGCCTCGACATTCAGTTGTGGTGCAGTGCGGGCTGCAGGGTTTTTCTCGTGCAATCCGACCACCATAATATGGCATCCAGTGTCTTCCAACCCAAAAAAGTCGAAAACACTTCGCCTGAACCGTTTTCCTCAAAGCCCGCCGTCTCGGAATGATGTCGGTTTAAGGTTTGCTGCGCTGCACCGACGATGGACAGGTGCCTTGGTGCAGTGCCATGCGCCTGTAAAACGACGGCTAGGGGCTGTAATGTTTCAGCAACTTGTGACAGCCCTTGCAGCCTAGGTTTGCACAGGGGTTCGGGTTCGGAAGACGTCAGAAGCAATACTGTTCCCAACTGTCAGAAAGCCCAACAGTGTGCATGTCACTCGTGCTTGTTGTCTTTGGCCAATCAAAACTCCAGGTGACAGTACGGTTCAGCCACGCAACAACAACCCGCACGCATCGCAATGCAATGATGCAGCGAAAGGAAGTTAGATGATTAGATGATGTTAGTTTAAGCCGTGCAAGCTTGTTTCAACTCAGTCTTTTTGAAATCCATCATGCGAGCATTGTGTTTGCAAATGGGGGAGCTGCGACCACCCGCTTTTTTAAGCCGTGCAAGCTTGCTTCAATTCTTGTGGGTTTTTTGACCCTGTCATGCGAGCATTCTAGGGGGTTGCCCCCCCAACCCCCCTACTATTGAGCAGGCGTGCCCCGGTTGCATGGGCATCCCCTACCCTGCCCCAGTCGTACTGTTTGTAGCTTTCCTCTCAAGGAACCTATGACAAACTTGTGACCTTTATGCTGACCAGGCTCCGTCACCGGAAGTTGGCTTCGAAAGCCCTACGATTGAGCAGGCATGCCCAAGTTGCATGGGCATCCCCTAACCCTGCTTGATTCGTTGACAAACTTATGCCCTTCATGCTGACCATTCGCCGGAGGTTGGCGCCGAAAGCCCTACGATTGAGCAGGCATGCCCCGTTTGCATGGGCATCCCCTACCCTGCTCGAGTCGTCTTGTTGTTGGCTTTCCTCTCAAGGAACCTACGACAAACTTGTGACCTTCATGCTGACCAGGCTCCGTCGCCGGGCTTCGAAAGCCTTACGATTGAGCAGGCATGCCCCGGTTGCATGGGCATCCCCTACCCTGCTTGAGTCGTCCTGTTTTTTGCTTTCCCCTCACAGAATCTATGACAAACTTATGACCTTCATGCTGACCAGGCTCCGTCGCCGGAAGGTGGCATCGACAGCCCTGCGATTGAGCAGGCCTGTAGGATCTGTCGGTTCGGGGGTTTAGGACCTCCGGGCTGGGGGTTTGGGGTTTCGGGTATATGTTCTCCCTAAAGCCGCTTAGCCAAGGTAGGGCCTTCGGGCCTTAGGGCCTTAAACTGTTAGGGCCTTAGGGCTTTAGGGCCTTAGGGTCTCGGGTAGATACATCCCCGAAAGCCGTTTAGCCAAGGTTAGAGAGCCGGATCGCGGACGAGCCGCGGCAGCTCGATACGACGGCTGCCACCCAGCTCCGCTCCATCGAGGATCGCTTGCGGCAAGCGGAGGAGAATGCCAGGCCCGGGGAGCTTCTGCGTTGGTTCTTGTTCAAGAATTATGTTTAAGTTGCCATAATAGGGATCTATAGTAAATGCCCCGGTTGCATGGGCATCCCCTACCCTGCTTGAGTCGTCCTGTGTTTAGCTTTCCTCCTTTTTCCGACTGCCCAACTCGCTGCCAAATCCAGCTTCCACTTCTTGGTTTCACCCCGCTTCCATCGCTCTTTGCATCGATGATACGTCTATTTGTGCTTCCATACCCCCTCAGGAACCTCCCCGGAGAGGAGGCTGTTGACGTTTTCGGTCAATTGACTGGGCGGGGAAAAGGGGTTGTGGCCGCGGTCAAAGCTGCAGGTCGAACCGGAAACGGATAGTCGCCTTGCCCGGAACAGGGCCGTCAGCAATCAGGACGCATCTTGTCTTTTCGGGGTTCACTTCAATACATGTGTCTAGAGGGCACGTCTGACTAGCTTACGACCTTCAACTTCATTCCATGAGCAGGCGCCATCGACGGTGTTGCCTCGGATTGGCCTCGGCGGCAAAGCAAAACAACAAGCCCACAGTGCTTAACTCCTGGCATTGCAGTAGTCCGATTGGAAAAAACTCTTCGACTTTGTAGGAGTTCCGGTGTTTGCTCGAAGGTGCGGAATCTATGCGGAAAGGCGGCCGGCCTCGTGCACGAGGCTTTCACCACCTCTCCGACGAAGCTCTCGACCACTTGGCCAGGCACTTGGACCCGTGAATCGATATTGGTTTGCTTACGTTTGTAGGTGCACAGAAACAAACTTCCCTTACCCAGGAAGCACTCCTGGGAGAGTCTGGTCGTACAGCTTCCAGCTCGTCCCGTTGCCGGCGCCGGAGTCTTATTGCAGAGCCGTCCTAGCTTGAGGACGCGCGGATGCAGCATGTTATCCAAGTCACACTCTTGCAACTTACAGCATTCTCCATGCACACACACACACACACAGCTTTCAGCGCAATGTTGTCATTCTCCAAGTAGATGCTCAATTATGTTTGGCTCATGTATTCCAGAATCAAACCCAATCAATGGCCTGAGTACAATACCTCTTTTTTGGCGAGGATGTAGTTTCTCCCGTGCCGAGGTAGATGAGCTGGACCTATGTCAACTAGCCATTGGATTTCGGTACCACATACTCCAGATGTCGCCTTCAAAATTCCAACCATTCCCCGGGCAAGGCTTTGATTCAGGAGCACACTTGCAAGATGACCCAAGGTATCCCAAAGGCATGGATCCATGGCCGTCACGGTGTCAAAATCACATGAGAAGCGATGTTGTCGGTTTCCCGTCCGTGACACATGCAGATGGATGGTGCCAGGGGGGATGCAAGCAAGTTCGAAGTTGTGGTTGCATTGTCTAGATGTTGTACTATCACATCACGCCTGCAGCACGCCTCTAAAGGTTTTCCATAATTGCAAGAATCGCGCGTTGACCGCCTCGGCCCGGCTTGATGACTCAAAGGGCTGCGCATCGACCTTCACCGATGCCCGCAGGTATTCTGAAAGCCGCCAGATTTGCTCCTTCAGAAGCTTGTCTTTTAAGGCACCCAAGTCAAGAGCCTCCGGCAGCCTCCAGAAATTTTCGCAAAGCTTCCTGGGGCATTTATGGGGTTGTTCCGGGCCATCCCAGGACGTCCAAATACTTCAGGACCCTGTATGCTTCGCGGGATGATCAAAACACGAGCTCTGCTCCGCGAGTGAACGGATGACTAACGGGGGTCTGAAACTCCGGGAGGGGAGTTAAGCTAATCTAAATACAGTACAAGGAACATCTGAACTCCTTCGGCCGGTGCTTGGGCGAATTGCGTGTGCATTGCTCGGATACTCGCTTGTGGCCCCCCATACGCCACCATCGCTTCGCTGCAACTACTTTCAACTTTGAGGCAGCGGCAGATGACATGCCGGGCGCCGTATGCCAGCTGCAGCCGGTATGCAAGCAGACAGTGCAGCTAGGCCTTCGTAGTTTTGGTGTACTTCGTCGGTCCATCGTGGTGTATGCGATCTTCGCCGGTTTGTCATCTTGCCGAATGCTGCCCGCACCTGTGTGTCCCGAGGTAGTGTGGAAGGGATCTCCCCGGTCTGGGCTTTCAACCTGTGCAGTGCGAACAGGTAAGATCCAATAACTGATGATGTGCTGCATTTTACTGGGCATAGTTGATGTCGGGTGACCATCTATCAAATCATTAAAAAATGCCAGTTTCGTGGTAACCTCCAGCTGCAACTCATAGCAAGGCGGAGGCTTTAAACCGGACCCCAGACTCAGGCGGCAAAGTGCGGAAAACATCGCAAGCTTGCGAGCAGAGAATGTGCAGAAGGCACGTGGCTGCACACATCCGATATGTCAGTTCAAGTTCCAGGTGTGTGTAAGCAGCATCGGGGAATTATTTGTGTGGCCTTGTTGTGGACCAGCATGTCAGCAAGCTCTGGAGTGCATACCTTCAAACTCTTCAACTCTTCACAGCAGAGGATAAGGGAGTGATGCAGCTCTATCCGTGTCCCATCTCCTTTGAACGGGTGGCGCATGCCTGGCAGGTTGTTTTGACTGAACCAGCGCGAGGGCCTTGGAGAGAACCGACGGTTTTTGGTTTGTTGAGGAAGATGATGCCCTTCTTGTACCCTGACTTGGCCTTCCCTCGCCACCTCAGCTGAGGCGAGATGCCGAAGGGCAAGTGAAAGCATTGCAGGCAAAGTCTCAAGCAAAGCACGGGAGATTGGCGAGAGGGCTGGGGACCAAGCATATCCAAGCATGGTGCGGAAGCACCGAGAATCTAAGAAGTTGCAAGTTGTTTCTGACGTTTTTCCGGCTGAAAGACCTCGAGGAGCCGAAGAAGTGGTCAAAGGAGCAGCGGTTTGAGGCAGTGGAAAAAGTGGCCGGGGAGAGGCTCGAGGCCGGAAGGGCGCTCCGTCAAGAGAGCGAGGCCTTGTAAGGTGGGCCGCACATGGTCCACGTGTAAGGAGCAGGTCGCAGAGCTGGTTTTTCTTGAGAGGGCGGAGACCGTCGCTGTGCTCTTTGATCAGCAAGCCTCAGACAACCAGGCAGAAGCCGCAGAGCAGGTAGCGGAGGCCGAAGACGGGGCCATGGCACCCCAGGAAGCTTCGGTCTTCGAGGATCTCAGGTTCCGTATGCTGTTGATCCAAAAGGGGGGCAGCAACATGAAGGAGACCGACTGCTACAGCGAGAGGAGCACACAAGAACTTCTGAACGACATGGACAAGGTAGAACCGATCAGTGCCTCAGTGCCATCTGGAGCTTCCCAAGAGCTGTGGACACAATCTGCAGCAGCGACTTACAATAGACGGGAGCCCAATCTGGTGAGGCAAGACAAGCGCACGGGCCCATCCGAAAAAAGAGGCATGACAAATGGTGAGCCAAAAGACTTTCGTTTGTTGTGCACGCAGTGAGATATGTGAGATATCCCAGAGCAGGGTCCTAGAAGAGAACAGAAATTCGACCACGACCTGCGATTTCACCCGCTTCGGTGCCAGAGCGTCTTGTATGGAAGCCAGCTTGTCACTTTTTGCTGTCAAGCTCCGCGTAGCGGTTCCCAAGACTCTGGAGATCGCCTGCGAGTGTGCAGACCTTTGCAAATGCCTGGAACTGTGGGAAACGTGGAAGTCACAGGAGTGGCTCGCCCCAACCAAGCCTGAGCCTTGGGCACCCCTTCTAAAGTTTGTCATCTTGCCGAATGCTGCCCGCACCTGTGTGTCCCGAGGTAGTGTGGAAGGGATCTCCCCGGTCTGGGCTTTCAACCTGTGCAGTGCGAACAGGTAAGATCCAATAACTGATGATGTGCTGCATTTTACTGGGCATAGTTGATGTCGGGTGACCATCTATCAAATCATTAAAAAATGCCAGTTTCGTGGTAACCTCCAGCTGCAACTCATAGCAAGGCGGAGGCTTTAAACCGGACCCCAGACTCAGGCGGCAAAGTGCGGAAAACATCGCAAGCTTGCGAGCAGAGAATGTGCAGAAGGCACGTGGCTGCACACATCCGATATGTCAGTTCAAGTTCCAGGTGTGTGTAAGCAGCATCGGGGAATTATTTGTGTGGCCTTGTTGTGGACCAGCATGTCAGCAAGCTCTGGAGTGCATACCTTCAAACTCTTCAACTCTTCACAGCAGAGGATAAGGGAGTGATGCAGCTCTATCCGTGTCCCATCTCCTTTGAACGGGTGGCGCATGCCTGGCAGGTTGTTTTGACTGAACCAGCGCGAGGGCCTTGGAGAGAACCGACGGTTTTTGGTTTGTTGAGGAAGATGATGCCCTTCTTGTACCCTGACTTGGCCTTCCCTCGCCACCTCAGCTGAGGCGAGATGCCGAAGGGCAAGTGAAAGCATTGCAGGCAAAGTCTCAAGCAAAGCACGGGAGATTGGCGAGAGGGCTGGGGACCAAGCATATCTAAGCATGGTGCGGAAGCACCGAGAATCTAAGAAGTTGCAAGTTGTTTCTGACGTTTTTCCGGCTGAAAGACCTCGAGGAGCCGAAGAAGTGGTCAAAGGAGCAGCGGTTTGAGGCAGTGGAAAAAGTGGCCGGGGAGAGGCTCGAGGCCGGAAGGGCGCTCCGTCAAGAGAGCGAGGCCTTGTAAGGTGGGCCGCACATGGTCCACGTGTAAGGAGCAGGTCGCAGAGCTGGTTTTTCTTGAGAGGGCGGAGACCGTCGCTGTGCTCTTTGATCAGCAAGCCTCAGACAACCAGGCAGAAGCCGCAGAGCAGGTAGCGGAGGCCGAAGACGGGGCCATGGCACCCCAGGAAGCTTCGGTCTTCGAGGATCTGAGGTTCCGTATGCTGTTGATCCAAAAGGGGGGCAGCAACATGAAGGAGACCGACTGCTACAGCGAGAGGAGCACACAAGAACTTCTGAACGACATGGACAAGGTAGAACCGATCAGTGCCTCAGTGCCATCTGGAGCTTCCCAAGAGCTGTGGACACAATCTGCAGCAGCGACTTACAATAGACGGGAGCCCAATCTGGTGAGGCAAGACAAGCGCACGGGCCCATCCGAAAAAAGAGGCATGACAAATGGTGAGCCAAAAGACTTTCGTTTGTTGTGCACGCAGTGAGATATGTGAGATATCCCAGAGCAGGGTCCTAGAAGAGAACAGAAATTCGACCACGACCTGCGATTTCACCCGCTTCGGTGCCAGAGCGTCTTGTATGGAAGCCAGCTTGTCACTTTTTGCTGTCAAGCTCCGCGTAGCGGTTCCCAAGACTCTGGAGATCGCCTGCGAGTGTGCAGACCTTTGCAAATGCCTGGAACTGTGGGAAACGTGGAAGTCACAGGAGTGGCTCGCCCCAACCAAGCCTGAGCCTTGGGCACCCCTTAGAAGCCCTACAATGGCCTAACACACAAAGGTCCTGGAATCGTTTATGTGACACACGTCCACGACTCCAGACTAATTGAGTATACAGGCCCGGAGTTCACGGAGCCACCACATCCGGAATCGAGAAGGCCAAGCGTGCCAGAGACAGGCAACGAATTCGCACAGCGTATTGCCAGATCAGCCCGCGACAGCTCTGAGGGAGGTTCAGTGGTGATGGCTCTGTTTCGTGCATGTGAGCAGCATCTTTCCCAATACCCGCAGGGCCCAGGTTCAAGGCTTACTGTCCAACCTCGGGGCCACCGACTCTTTGCCGAGTCTCGTAGCCTGACCCACCTTTGTAGGGAAGAGCTGAAGCAGAAGGTTGAACGAGCCGTTGGATGACGTGGGCGCAGGGGAGGGCTGCCGGGTTTTGGTAGAACTGATGATTAGGCCCTGCCCAATCCTGTTTGAGGCCATTTGTCTGAGACTTGACACATATTGCATCTACCTTCACCTCCGACACTGGCTGCCGGATCTATGCGGCCCTGCCAGCATCAACCGCTTCGTGGTGGGAAGTTCAACAATTTCGAGGCGGGCCAGCACGTGACGCCCTCTTCGCTGGCGGCTGCGTGGGTGCCATGCTGGACACGTACGGCATGTCGCTATTCGGGCGATGACGTCCATCAACGACCTGTCCGATCCTTTGTTGCAGATCACGGAAAGCAGGCGGCCCCCAAAAAGGACCTGTAAATAATCAAACTGTCCTTGCATTATCTAGGTGATATTAGGTGATGACCCTATACGATTCTCCTCAACCCCTAGGAGGAGGAATGCGGCATGCACCTGGCCGCTCACGGGCTGGCACCATCCTTCCGCACGAGACCACTTATTCTGAGTTGAGCGGGCGGACATCACCAACTTCCGGACAACCTGGTTCACCGAGAACATCACCCTCATCTGTGACAGGAACTGGGCCTGCAACTTCTCCGCATCTTCGACTATGCAGCACTCCCCACTGTTACTTGGTCAGTGGCGTCAACGAAAACTGCTGCTGCTTACATGAGCAGCCGGACAAGTCCAGGCAGTACGCTGCCGCACTGTTGCCTCGCTTCCCTGTGAAGTAGCACTCTGAGATTTAGTTCGTGCGAAGTAGTATCGTTTGGTGGCCAAGTGAAAAACTGCTGTCAACTTGTGGAGCCAAAGCCAGCGCATCCCGGACTGGAAACTGTGCGCTCTTGGGTCAGACTTCAGTTTCCATGTTCGACGTCAGAACTTCGCCGACATGCAGCCACCCTTCTCAGCATCAAGACTCAGATCCTTCTCAGCTTCTGCGTGAACTTGAGAGAGTCCGCTGTGGCCGGCCTCTTCGAGAACTGCCCATCATTGAGGCTTCCATGAATCCGTGGCAGATCACTGTTGTTTTGCATCCTCCGACACCTGCAGGTATATCGAAATTGCTGTGTGCATGTTCGACATGACCAAATTTCAACGAACGTCGGAGACTTGGCTGTTGGCTCGTCCTCATTTGTGATCTTTTCAATGTGCAGAGCTTTCGTCACAGGTGTCGCCCCGAGTGCACAATTGCGGTGAACTTCGATTACTGAAAAAAAAAGAAGCATGCTTAATAGGGCTCTCAAAACTGTCGCATGGCCGCATGTTTATGGGTGAGACTAGTTCTTCCTGCCCGGCCGGGTGCTCTGGTGTGATGGAGATGAAATCCGCTTCTGGCTTCGAGCGTACGGGGTAAATTCGAATCACCGCATTCCCTAGTCCTTGCATTTCCCGGGAAACAGAGGCATAGTCAATGAGGACAGCGATGATAGCCGGGACAGGCTTTAGAGGTTGGGGTGTTACATAAATCCTAAGTCTTACCAACACAGAGAGACCCCAATACCTAGAATAGACCTAAAGCTATCGAGGGCATCTGACTGTGGTTTAGGGCAGCTGGGGATCTCCGCGAAGGCCTTACGTATTAATCCTAGTAGCAGGACTGGCAAAAGTCGTAGTCGTAGTTCTGAATCCGAAGCTTGTGGCGTTACAGCTAAGACGCCAGATTCGATTCTGCTTCAGCAGCAGGGAGCCTGCGCGGTGCTGTTGCGGCGCCGAAGTGACGGCTTACTTAGCATGTTGACGGCCGCTGGTGGCTCATGCAGCACATGTAGCTCACATTGTCGACAAAGATCTGACCTTTCACATGTTATCTATGTATGACAAACGGGCGATGCCCTATGTTCATGCTGACGCCTGCAGTCCTAGCAAATCATCCTTGGTCCTTTGTGTTGAACGGACGTACATCTGGGGATGTGCCATCGCTTCAGGGTCCTGCAGCAGGTGGAAACCTGGGCGTGCCTTGGTTCAGGGTTTAAGGTTTTGCTTTCTCGTGTTGTAATGGATACTGCGCTCACCGAGGTGAAGATTGAATGTTATTTTTGTCCATCGTTGCATGCGTTCTACCACCTTACAAAATCGTTGCGCAACTTGACTGTATGATGTAGACACCACAAATTTGGCATAGTTTACGTTGCCTTGCCATGCAGCCGGATTTTGTCTCGATGGAGGTGCGCCCGGCAGTCAGGGTGTCCAGGACAACCTCTCCATACATTGCCTTTCTGTGCAAAAACCTAGTTGTACTTAAAGGGCCTACCACACAAAAGTCGCATGCTGAGCTAAGTGCTGCTGCCTGTAACATATGTGAATCTGAAATGAAGCCGTGGCACACTGCATTGCTTGGTATCTATAACACTTGGGAGCACACATCAGCGAACTGCTTGAGCTCTGCGCCCAAACCCTGCCAGCGAGTGTTGAGAGTCTGCTTCATTAGCAGGTTCCGAAGACATATCATAGTTCCCCTTTCTGGTATGGAGGCAAGCACGTCACTAGCACAAGCGTTGTAGAGACAAATGTCACCCAGCAACTTGTAAGCATCAGCATGACTTATGGCTGAATCCAGATTCTTTGGAGAAGGTTGGTGAATTTGCCCTTGAAAATCCTTGAAATGGCCCGCTGGAAGGAGAGCAACCATCTGGAGGCGGCTTGCGCATCATTTGTCGTAGTTACGAGGGTGCCTGTTTCTGGCAGGCAGCGAGCCTCGAAGAAGCGTTTGAGGCGTGGATGTACAAACTCTTTGAGCCGCTGTTATGCAAACTATGACTCATAGTGAGCACAGGAACGGCTAAGAAGGTCAACGTGAAAGCATGCTCGGCTCACAGCAACATGAGGCCTTGCAGGGCCGCAATCCCAGAAGTCATACAACTATGAGCACAGGAGCAAGATGGTGAGCGTCAGAGATTCCCGACTCACAACAACATGAGACTCCGCTGGACATATCCTTACACTGACACTTGAGAAGTTGAAGCCTGGAGTCCAATGGAAATTGATTCAATTGCCCGGTTTCATCATGACGCAGCTTGAGTCTTTCGATGCACTTGCTGACAGACCTCAAGAATGTCATGATTCGGTTGCTTGCCGACAGTCAATTCTGATGCCAGACCTTTCCTGCACATCAAAACGCGGATCAGCAGAGCATCCCTTTTCAAATCCCTCTCATGCCCCGTGCTCACGTTGACGTTTGGCTGACGTGGTCCTTAGGCCCTGGGACGACCGAAGACAAGTCTTCTTGGAGCAGGCGCGCGAAGACGTAGGCTGCGGAGCCGATGGGTGCTTCATGCCATAGCTCTGACACTGCAGGTGGCTGAGCCTCCTGAAGGAGTGACCCGGATGAACCAGACGCAGTGCAAACCTTTCGGTCGCGTGCTCTTTGAACCAATCAATCAGGTAGAGCCATGGATGCACAAGATCTTTCGGCCTCCTTGCAGCAACCAGCAGGGCCCCCCTGCTAGCTAGCGAACCCAAGCTGGTCCTTCTAAGGTCGACGCGATTTCAAGGCGCGCGTTGCAGAGATTGCTTGGGATGATGGCCGTCAAACCACTTAGCATCGCTAATCTAAGCTGCCCAACGTTGCGACACAGGCATATGGGCCCCGCCGAAACTGGAAGTTAAGGACCATGAAGTGCGCGGAACCGCCGCAATTTTCATCAAGTCGACTCTCGGACACGGCAGGCGCCGGTGAAGGTCTTTGACTTCATGCTGGGGCCCCAGATCGACAAGTTGGTGCGTGATGCATTCATGCAGTATCCTTTATATCCTTTCATCCGCAGGCCAACTCTGGTTCCTATCAGGCTGAATGTGTATTTGTTTGTTGCAGCATTTGTGCGTGTTGTGACTCGCGATCCCTCGCGCAGAACAGACTATGACATCGCGATGTCCTCCTTGCAGATGCACAGCTGCACAGTCAATGCAGTGCAGAAAGGCATCGCCAACCAGGCAGGGCCCTTTCACGCCCTGCATGCCTTTGAAGAAGGTTGGTGAATTTGCCCTTGAAATGGCCCGCTGGAAGGAGAGCAACCATCTGGAGGCGGCTTGCGCATCATTTGTCGTAGTCACGAGGGTGCCTGTTTCTGGCAGGCAGCGAGCCTCGAAGAAGCGCTTGAGCCGTGGATGTACAAACTCTTTGAGCCGCTGTTATGCAAACCGAGCCCCCGGAGCAGGCGGGTTGGAAGTTGGAAGCGGGTTGTTTGCGTCGAAGTAGAGTCCGCACGTCCAACTTGTGCTGAAGACTGCCCACCATCGCTAAAACGCACTGGAGGTGGCTGAGCCAGTACGACATGCATCCTGAAGGTCCTGAAGCGATGTCTCTTGCAGCCGACATGTAGCCAGAAGGCCCGAAACCTTGAACGTGTAGCCTACGACCAGGCCTAATACAACCCTTGTTAAGCCCAAACCCTGGAAGCATCTTTCCGAGAAGCCTTTGTCGTAGCTCTTATGGTAGCCCTCAGAGTCCGTAAACTTCTATCGGCTTCTGTCGCTACACCCTAAACCCTCACAAACCCTTATATAAACTGATAAACCGTAATAGACCTTCAACCCGTACGGCCCTTCAAGTGCCAGGTCTGGATCGGGTTGTCGCCGCCGCTTCTGCACCTAGTGGAATCCCTGCTGGCGAAGCCGGGCCGCTGGGACCTGCATGGAGCCATACGGGTTAAGAGTTTTAGGTGTTAGAGAGGGCTGCCAAAAGGGGGTTGTGGTGAATGCCCCGTTTATTTAAGGATGTGCCATAAATTGGAGTTGGGTTTTGGGGTACTTTGGCACAGTTATGTTAAAGAGCCCCATGGAACGATCGTACCGCGCCCCCAAGCTCAAAGCTTTCAGCGCTGAAGGCTTCCGCGACTAGATTCTGACTAGATGAGAACATTCGAAGTTCCTTTTGCCTGGTGTGTTGCTCAAGTAAAGTGGGTCGTATGACAGTATATTGTGATCTGAGGAAAGTAGCTGGGGAGCGGAGTAGAACAGCATCGAATTGACGGGGTTTAGGCTGTTAAGCCTCCGGCTGGCCGTGGTTTGTACTGGAATGGCTCGCCTCAGAGCGCAAACTTTTCATCCCAGACGTCTAGGCATCCGAATGTCCACTGTTGAGGTCCCGCATGGTGCCGCTTCTCAAGATGCGGCGCGCTCGCGGCTTGGGCAAGGTGCTTCTCGCATGTGCTGTGGTTCGCGGAGATGAGTTTGCAACGTCTTCTGCAGTCTCGATGTGCCTAGTTCCCAAGCAAAGCAAGGCTCACATGTCTGTGATACGGCAGTAAGCACTAGATATGTAGCAGAGATGACGAGAACTAGTTATCGCATCTTCCAACAAAATACTGTTGTTTTCTGTCTCCGCTACAAACCCTAGCCTAAAGCCCTAAACCTTAAACCCTACATTCTCGAGAGTCCTCCCAGCGACAGAAAGCTCAGGCCAAGTAATTGAGCGCTTCCGGCCGTGAGCTGAGAGCCGGTCCTGGCCTTCGTAGTATAATGACCCTACAAGCGACTATACTTAACTATAATGTTACCAACGATTATTTTACCTCTGAACTATAAGAGATTACGCTATTTCTATAAACTAGTATATAAGTTCTGGTATAATAGTTTTTGAAACTTGGAAGACTATATTATACCAGAACTTTAAGAGACTTGATTATTACCATAACTATCAAAGACTATTATACGAGTTAGAACAATCTGTAATAAACTGAATATTATTGCGTAGCCTATTCCTCAGGGTCGTGAATGTAAGAATGCCATCATATACCTTCAAGGCTTTATTCTAACTATGAAGGTCCCCATATTACTGTAGCAGCGATGCTTGAGTGTAGAGACAAGGTGTTAGCGGACTGTTTTCAGCTACCCTTTAGCAGTTCCATTGGGTGCAAAGCACTTCAGACCTCGTGGTACCACCCTAAACTCCGAGCCCTAAACCCCCTTTCCGCTAGGCGGATTCTGTCCGATGCCAGGATTGTTAGACGGAAAAAGGGGCTTTACAAAGTATATAGAAGCCTTCAGCCCCAGCAAAAGATCCCGACTTTGGGGCCCCGGCCCGCCCCGTGCCTTAGAGACTTGGTCCGAGGCCCTCCACAGGGCCGTGGACTTTTTGTTTGTCTCCTTTGGCGTTCGGAAGATGCAATACTGGGTAGGGGGCATCGGAGAAGAGAGTGCAGGGGTGCAAGATTTGAGGCTGCAGGGCTGTTGGAGAAGTTTTCGGACCAGGCGCTTGCCAAATTTTGAGCAGCCGTTGATTTCGTATTGAAGCGTGGTAGATGCAAGTATCACGGGAGCCTCGATGCTTCAGCAACGGCGGTGTTCCAAAATCCAAATCATCCTGAAACATGTCGGACGACGGTGCTGCTGGCTGCTGGGGATCTTCAGAAGTAGAGCTTCGCAAGCTGCTTCACAAAGGACACGGGGGCGGTCAGCATCCTGCACACTCACCAGCCATCCTACCCAAGCTGAGCGCGCTGCCGTCTTCAGGTGGCACACCGGATCACACCGGCGGGGCCCTCCCTTGAGGCCCGGTTGTTTCGGGGTCACGGACAAGGAGCACCGATGCTTGCGGCGAGTGGAACCACTGGTTCGAAGAGTGTCGGCTGTGTCCAGCGTAGTTTTGTTCCTGGAGCTGGGACAGTGGGAGTTGTGCAATGTTGTGCAGCTACGGGAGCTTGCCGTGACAGTGACCACACATGGTAGCCAGAGACTCGCAACAACCTCATGGCAATATGTCAGCCTTAGTTTCGTCACGCATCTCAGTGAGGCAGCGAACAGCAAGAAGAAGAAAGGCAAGAAGGCAGCTCATCTGCGAGTTGGCTCAGGATTGCTCGGGTTGCGCTTCCATGTGGGTTCGCGGGTGCCTCACGTCGCGACCAGCTTTCAGTCTCTCGCCAGAAGGCCTCCCCAAATCGCTGGTGTAGAGCACTCGGGCTCGCTTGTGCGAGGCTGAGGATTCTACAGCTGTACGACGAAGCTCCCGGTGACGTCTGCATGAACTGTGAGGTGCCCACGGTGTCATTGAGTGCCCAAAGCAGAAAGCATGCGCGCTCTTTTGGAGAAGGAAACAGGTAACGGTTGAACATTTTCGTTTAGTAGTATTGTTGTGAGGTCAGTAGCGTTTGCTGCTGACTCTGGTGGAAGGTTTTGGAAGCTCCTCCAGGAGGTCACTGCGCGGCGGAAGCTCTGCCGACAGCTGCCATGGGCCTAGTGGGGTTGTGTGTGAGGTTTCCGATTTGGGGGCTTGGGCTTTATACGTATCGGGATCAGCATTTCGCCTTACTTAGCAAGCGGGGGGTTTAAATACCCTAAACCCTAAGGATTCCGGGCTCGCCACACTAAGAACAGCTCGGTTCTTCGCAGCCACTATCCGCAAATACTGAATTTGCGATGCGTGCGATTGAATTTCGCGGCTTCGTATTGATTGCAGCCAATCCACCAAAACCAAAATTGGACTGGGCTTGTGTTTGCCTTAGTTTGCCAGGACTATAAGGCGATACGGAGTGTCGCTAATAAATCCCATCTCCTATGTCGTTTTCCAGGCACTACTGAAAGCAAGAATGGTCCGTCCAAGTCTTCCAGGGGTACAGAATTCTCCCCATATCTACACCGCCTCGAGACGCTGTCGCTCTCAGACTCAAGTGTGGAAGACCGCAGCCGCTTGTGGTTTTGGACACTTATAAATCCCGTCTTCTAGTTGTAGAACAGGAATACACAAAAGTCCGAGGTATGTTATGGGTCCCCTGTTTCGAAGCTGCTTTGTCCGGGATTTAGCGTTCACGGGCCTGGGGTCTGCAGGCGTGGGCTGCCCAGGAGATACTAGAAGGCATGGAACCACAAACTGTAATGCATGTGGACTAGATGTATTTTGTGTGGGCGCTGTTGGGTTTGTCACGGCTTTGGGCCGGTTGCGGGGACAAGGAGCGAAAGCCGTTAGGGGTCGATGGCTAAAGGTCTAGAGGTTCTATACCCCAAGCCTGGTCCCCGCCTGGGAGTGCATGCAGACGCGTCGAGCCGCGGCTTTTGATTCGCTCGGCGCCGAGGCGGGAGCCGGCGATTGGGCGAAGGTTGAGGGTCTAAGCGGTTTAGCGAGGGTTTAAGTAAATTGAAGTGGCTGACCCCCCGCGAGGGTTTAAGTAAATTGAAGTGGCTGACCCCCCGCGAGGGTAGGGTTTAGGGTTTAG